GTATTTTTCCGAGGCTTATGAAAAATAAAATTGGATTAGAAATTCCCTGTGATCAAACTCTTAACTAAAGATTAAAAAAATAACACACTTGTTAACATGGAGGGCATTTTAAAAAAAGCTATTACTATATTTTTATTGCCTTTTTGCAGAGCCTATTTGTGTGAAGGATTTTCTTACATGTTATATTTGAAAAATAAATGCAGAACCAAATTAAAAGTGGATCCTAATTTATGGTTAAAACTAAGTGAAATAAGTGAATATACTAATAAAATATTATATGATTTGGGAAATGGAATTAAAATTCAATTTAAAAGTATGTAAGAGATAAGTTTGCAAAGTTTTTATTTCTGATACTCTGTGAGAACAAAGACCTTCCCTAAAAAATTATGATTATGTGGACTTTTGAAGAATAGAAAGACTTTTGGGCTGAAATACTGCGAAATTCAGTAGGACTAAAAATTACATTAAAAAAACTTATATTCAAAAATTATATTTTACAATTATTAATTCTGTTGGTCAAATTTTTATGACTTACCTTTCTCTTTATTTGCTACTGCTTTATGATTCTGTCTTTATGCTTCTTCTTAGTATGCTTCTGTCTAAGGTTTTAACCACAGCCTTTTTCTTCTTGAAAGTGGGAGTATGTAAAATAAATTTTAAAAAAATGTAAATATAATTTATAACTTAAATTAGCAGTAACTGCTTAATGCTTTGTTTTAATCTGGTATTTCCTTTCTCTATTCTAAAATCTTTTTCTGCATTGCATCATTTCGAGAATAATCCATGCCATAACGACTCTTACATAACACAGGAGACGTAAATGGAACTAAACCTAAAATGGCCAATAATAATTTTAAGCTGTATTAATTTTCAAATCAAATGCATTGAAAACTCAAACTAATTCCTTCTGAATTTTCATCCTTAACCCTATTTACTTGCTTTTTGCACTTTGACCTAACCGGACTTTACTTGCTGCTTCACATTTTGGTACAAAGCTAGGAACTACTCTTATATGCGCCCTCAGGTCACCAAATTTCTCGGCAAACATTTTTGGCGAGAAACTCCACGGTGCCATATTACTATCTAAATTTTTTGTCTACATTTCAAACTTTAAGCCTAAAATGTGTCCAAAAACGTGGATTTCGCACATGCAAAAACCATGTTTTGAACACACAATTTAAGCTAAAAATCTGAAACAAAAACAAAAAATTTAGATAGCAAAAACGTAAAGTTTCTAACCAAAAATATTTGACAAGAATCCATGTACACAGCGATATCTTGTAACTTAAAAAAGCATCTATGTATTGCACAATCTAGGCATTGCGTACAAATCAACAAAATAATCTAAAACAACTAAAATAAATTACAAATCATTCAAATAACAACAGAAATTCATAGTAAAAAAACAATGAACATAACATTCTACAAAATAAAAACAATAAAATAAAATGCACTTACCGTAATACATACGTGAATGAAATTTCACCAGTCACACAACGTCTGTCAACAAAAGTGCCACGATTTTGCTATATCACGTCTTTCTGTGATTCAAAATTTTGAAAGTAATGATAAAAACTTCATCCAAAGTTAACTTACGAAAACCACAATCCAAATCTTAAACTCCACTGACAGCCACATACTTTACCAGCAAGCATTTGACTGCAAATCCACACCAGAACTATCAGAAATGCCCTTCTTTGTCCGAGTTCTCATAGCAGCTCCACATTTCGAACTCTGTTTTAAAAGTCCCACAGAAATTCCAAAAATACATTTCGATCCTCATTAACACACCTATGAACAAAAGACTTGTTAACAACTCCAACATCGTACCTTTTAATATTAAATTTACTTTCCACACAATCTAAAATACGCGACTGAAATCTTGCCACCACGTCTCTAAGTTTCAACGTCAAAATGGTTGCCATACAAACAGCATTGTCCACCAAACCATCCCACAGCACAGAATCGTGCTGAAAACCAGCGCAGAACGCATATTGCCACATTTGATGATCTTAGGGCACATCTAAGAGTAGAGCCAAAAATTATCCAAAATGTAAATGTTTTTTTAAATAGACATGAATTAGAGTGCTAAGTTGTTTGTGGCCACAATACGTTTTTATGATATAAAAATGAATATTGAATCTGCCTCAGTTGCTAAGTTTGCTTCATATATACACAATTACGCTGCCGGACTTCTTAATTTTGAAATTTCTGAACTCTTGTAGTTGGTTGTTTATATGCTGCTCCATAATGAGCAGCAATGTGGCAGCTGAGGTAGATTAAATATAAAATAAATATAAATATATATATATATATATATATATATTATATATATATTTTTTTTTTTTTTCAGTTGACATTTATGGTCACTATTCACTTGGCAGTCTAATTGTGCCTGTTTTCAGAATATTTACATTTCTGGTATCATTGCAATAGAGAGAAAGCAGTGCAGCAGTGCCTTAGCAACATCAGAGGTATAGGCAAAGTACATAAATATGGAGTATGGAGGCTTATTAAGAGAAAAGCTTGGATTCAGGAAATTTAACTTATGCTAACTTAAAGAAACCTGCACAACTATACACTTAATAAGTATGTAAAGAATATTCTTTTTGAAATAACTGAAATTGCATTATATGTTAATATTATTTTGATTTGTTAATTTATCCTCATAGAAGATTTATTTTATTTAAATTTTAGCCCTAATGCCAGTTGTGAAAATCATGATTTTGAGAAGTTCTCTAGTGGCTGAATGAAATTGTCCAAATCCTAGCAAACAAACCAGCTGCATGGGTATTTTCTTGGTTTTCTGCAGTAGTTTCTTATTGCAATTGAGAAAAGGTGACACACATCTTGGCGAGTTTATACTTATTGCAGCTGCGAAAAGTTTTTTGATAGTTACTAAATTGGACGCAAATAAGCCCTTTTCTTTATGAAGTTATCACCACATAAATTTGGTGAAATAAGATTCAAAGTGCTTTTTTGCTGTTTCATGTTTTCTATTTTGCCATTTTACTGAATCCCATACTGTGTTGTTTTACTTTATATAATGTTTAATTCATGATCCTCTTAATTCTTTAATAGGCCTATTAAAGAATTAAGAGGATCATGAATTACTTCCAAGGTTTAAAGGAGAACTTATAAGGGGAACCCCTCAGTCTTTGACATTTTCTTTGTAAAAAATATATTTCAGGGTATCCCTTGGTAAAAATTGGTGATTTTTTTTGGGGGGGGGCTCCATTCTTGTTTACATGCAATGCCCTCCCAAGTGAAATAATGTCCAAAACATAATGCAGTAAAACATAAAAAATTGTAATCTCAATAAACTGCAATTTGAATCAAAATAAAACACGGAAATAACATAAAAATGGAAATACATATTATCTAATCTGCGCAGTACAAAAAGAAAATATCAACTTAACCTTATTTAGAAATTTCTGTGTCTTTGGTGTGTTGCACACAGAATTTCTTAACAGCATTTAAAAACTGTTTAAAATTATATGAACTAGAATCTGTATACTGCCATTGCCACATAAATTCACAAAAGTAAAAATCCATAATATCCTGCATACTGCCAAACTGTCAGTGGCATTTCTTTCAAAAATCCCTTTTTATTACACTCCACATACCGCATACATAGTGTTGATATGAGCTCCGGTTTCCAAATCCTTAAATCTCATTGCGCAATTTACTGGGAGATGAACGAAGCCATTTAAATCTTCATTTACACACCAGCCAATCAATGTTTTCTTTCCCATTTGTTCTAAAGCGTACAGAAACTTCAGGGTAACGGTATCACCAGCAGGCATTTTACAGTGTAAAGCACAAAATAATCAACGTACTTCCTAACCTACATCCGACGCATAAATAAGGCCCGAGAAATATTTTCCCAACGGTCAAAATCATGCATTACAACCAATCACGTCATAATAGGGTTTCCGTAACATTCAATGTAAAATACTGAGGTTACCATAAATGAAATAACAACTTGGTAATAAATGAAACAACTTGGCAATAATCCAAGGGGTCCCTAAAATATAGACTACTCTTTTCCTTTATGATTTGTATGAGAGTATCTACTCTTTTATCTGAATCTTTTGCAATGAGTCAGTTATTAAGCTCCCTCCATAATCTACCAAATAGTCAGTGCTTTGGAAACATTCTGCCTGCTTATTTTTTTTCACTTTGTTTAAAGACTTTTGTTAATTTTAATTTGCTGTTAGGATATCCTATTTTTTCCCAGGTCTGGAAGAAGATTATGTGCACAGACTAATCACAGGGGATTGTTCTACTTAGCTGTTATCTTGTAAGCCTTATCCAACTTCTCCCCATGCAGTATTGTGAACCCTTGAATCATGTTTTTAATGAAAGAATATGGTTTCGAGTCTTTATATTGTTTATCAGTGCACAAATAAAGTGTCATGTCATGCTCAGAACATTTCTTTATGGCATTAACTTTGGAAGTATTCTGCTTGTGATTCTATCGAAGGCAGGGCTGGAAAATTTTTATTAATTTTTTATCAAGTGAAAGAAAATTGTTATATGGGTATTATTTCAAACATAAAAGGGAACAAATATATTTTATATATATTGTATATTATAAAAAATATATTATTTTTTTAACTATATCTATAATTTCTGTAAGAATCATGGTACAGTATTTAGTGTGTAAACTCATCAATATGTGTGTCAACTTTCCTGCATGTTGGAATAATAATTCAAAACCACATTTTCGGTATGTGTAATGCAAATATGAGCCGGTTTCCCTTAAGAATTCTTGATGAAGTTATTGCTCTCTTTAAACAGCCATGATATGTTTAACACGTTCAATTAAGCACTGATTTTAATAGCTTAGTGGTCTTACGAACTATCTGTCCTCAGAGGCTGCTGTCTTGTGGAGGCAAAACATTGCACTATGTTCTGCTGTTTATTATGTATTTTAATTTGATGATATATATTATATCCACGTTCATTAATTTATTATTATTATTTTTTAAATTTAGCTTTCTGCAGTTATGTCATGTCTTCCGAACCAATAGATACTCAGTGGTTGTATGAACTGCTCCAAGAAGTTCAGTTGGAGCAGTTCTTCACTAAAATTAGAGATGAATTGCAAGTTACAAGATTGGCTCATTTTGATTATGTGCTGTCATATGATTTAGAAAATATTGGTATGGGTAAACCTGCAGCACGTCGCCTTCTCGATGCTGTCAAGAAACGAAGAGCTGCAGTTTGGAGGAAAAGTATATTAAATAAGGTAATTCATTCTGAATTTTTTTTATCTTTATTTAGTTACCTATTTAATGTTGTCTTGCTTTTGCCATTGTTATGAGATTTTTACCATGATGGAACATTTAAGGCACGGCTTGTACCATCTAAAAACATATAATAAAGTGAATATAGTCAAGATAAAAGCTAATCTGACTCTCTTTCAGGAAGTTGTAGTAATTTTTTACTCTTAATTTTTATGTTTTATCTTACGCTGTAGGCTTCTACTATTTAAGTCTTAAATCAACAGAAAGGCACAGCTTGTGCAACAGATGAGCTTCCGCTCCTTTTGGGTATTTAAATTAACATAAAGGTTTAATTTCAATCGTAGGGAAATAGTCTGAGACTGTATATAAAATAGGCTACTCAAACTGGCATAAATCTTTAACAATGTGTATTTTTAAACATTGGCAAGCAAGACACTAAACCCAGAAGACAACTAAGGCAAAGCTAGCAATAATAAGTAACAGCAAGAGGCGACTGCCAGAAGCTCTAACCTAAACATTCAAAACCCTTGGCTTAAATACACAAAACAAATAATTTGCATTCTGGTGAGAATAAGAAAGAAGAAATTATTGTAAAGGCTAAAATCAAAATGTCTAATTTTTTTTTCTGGGAGGAGGAAAAGACAATAATTTTAAATTGCATCATATGAAATTAATTTTGAGAGCTGGTAATTGATTAAATGAAGCAGATGATAGATGAATTATTGTAGGACTAATTTACCAGGGAATATGATAGGTAAATATCGTACTCAATTTCCATTTTACAAATGCATAGCAGCATTTGTTAAATGGAAAGATTAAGATGTAGATACATCTATCGTTAAAAAATAAATTGCGAGAAATTAAGAAAATTGTGAATGAACTGTAAAGGGTGGCAACCTTTCTTGTGTGAATTGCACAGTTATTTTTTTTACTATAAATAAACGCAAGCCATTGATTGTGAATCTTGCAGGAAAACGATTGTGTATATGTATATAGAATTATCAAACCATATTGATGAATACTGGATACTTGCATATTAATCCTTGCTGAGAATTTTAGTTGACTTGGGGATCTCTTTTGTGATAATCTGAATATGAAGCATTTCTATTTTGACAATGCATTCTCCTCAAAGACAGTTAGGAGACTTGTTTGTTATCTAGCAGTTAAAGATTTGATAGTTGCTGATGTAACTTTGGCAATGTTTAAATAAAAGTCATTTCCACTCTTTGGAGATGATAATAAATGGCTTTCTCTTCAATTTTTCTTACCCCTTTTGGCAAATGTTACCTGGCTATTGCTTGCAAGATACAGAAGTACTAGTTTTATTTTATTCTGACAAAATACCTTTCTTTAGTCATCATGAGTACTTCAAGAAGTGATACTGAATTGCTAGAGAGAATAGTTAATATCAGCGGAGATTGCTCTGGTAAGCCTGTTAACATTAAACTACTGTAACTTGTTTTTTTACACCAATAAAAACAACTACAAATCCATCAAACTGATAGTTATTGGTAGTTCTAGTATTAAGATTGTAACTAAATTAAATTAATTTTTTAGAAGATATATGGTTTTCTGTAAATATCAATTTGACGGGTGTACATAAATATAGATATACAAAAATGTCTATAAACCTAGTGTTAAAAACAGAAATGCAGTCGGCTGGTGGCTGCAACAGAAAAGCAGGCATGAGTTATTACAAGTTATTACCTGTGTTGTGTAGTTTTGACAAGTTATTACTGTTTTGTCCACTTATTCATGGTAAAATTTGACTCTAAATTCTTTGCATAAAATGTAAATGAACTGACTGGTTATCATAAATATGATTTAACTTCCATCAAACATATTTCTTGCTTCCATTCTTAAAATTTATTTGCACAAATGCTGAACTTCCACATTTATTTTTATTGTATGGAGTGAAAACATTCTGAACTATTTTGTAATGTTTGCTGATTCTGAAAAAAGGGTTAGCTTCAGTTTCATTATTTAATAAATGCCAGAGACAGAGAGAATGTAAATGATGCATAACACAATCAAAGCTAACAGAATTAGACTGAACACATGGTAAAAACAAACATGGTGAAGGTTGAGAGTATACTTGCAACTAGAAGAGAGAGATTTATTGGTAAGTTGAATCACTATTTGACAACTTGGCTGTAAATTTAATATGTGTGGTGCAACCTTTGAGGTTTTGTGTCGAAAGATTCACCAGCCAACTGCATGAAAGCAACTGAAATTTTTGGTCTTGCTTAATTCACTAACATTGAACTTTTTATGGTAAATCATATTTTGTGGTACACACAATGTAAGTTTAACTATTTTGAGTATTTAGGAAGAAGACTAACTTAAGACATTAGTTTCAAGAATATGCTCAGTATGTTTATGATTGCATATGTAAAGAAAGTATAAATTTTATTTGCATAATTAATATTGCTGAAAGTAATTAGTATATTTTTAAATTTCTTTCTAATTATTGAAAAACGAGTATTTTTCTTTGGTTGATAAACTTTTTTTTTTAATGTGAAATTTTTAATTGTTTAAAGATATACTTACATAGGTTTTAAGCATTCATTTAATTTCAAAATTATTATTTACAGATTCTGCCTTCTTCAGGAAAACAGGAGAAGTCTTCAAAGACAAATCCTGGAAATTTACCACCTGCATTACCATCCAGTGGCATGCTAACCTGTCTTATCAATGAGAAAGATTTAAAATTATTGAATAAATTAGGTGATGGTTCTTTTGGGGTTGTAATGAGAGGAGAATGGACAACTGTTTCAGGAACTCCTGTAAGTTTCATTGTTACACAGCATGCCAAAACTGCTTTTGTACTTTTTGATTATCCACATCCCCCGCTGAAAAGTTGTGAAAAAGTATTCATGAGGCAAAGTAGTATGACACAAAAATAGTTTTATGGTAACCCACAATGCTGCCAAAAAGTATTTATTTGGCAACTCTGCTGTGCACATACACGTCTGTTATGCTTGGTGTGCAATACCAATTCTGTATGATGTCAAGTTTGCACAGCAAAAGCAGATCTCGGCTGATCTGAGCGAGAACAACGTTTCATACTTTTGTAGTTTTAATGGTTGTTTGCTTTTGTATGGAATTTAGTGTGCTACCATTTTAAAAATGGCTGTTGCCTTTTGCACATTAGCTCTCTGAATAATTAGCTGTCAACAAGTTTTGCAAGTTATGTCTAAAGTCAGCAATGAGGTCACAACTTTTTGATAAGGATGTTGATAGTCAGAAAGTAATTTTCTTCATATTATTATTAATACAGTTTAATTTTCTTTTTTAAATTTTCGGATTTAAAATTGTTTATTCATACCGTAACTATATTTGACTGTGTGTTGTATAAGTTTCTAAATTTGCAGTGATGAAATTTTAAAAATGCAGTGAAATCTTAGTTTAAGAACGTAATTTCCTCGTGAAGGCCCGTTGTCATCCAAAATCTTCATGAACTGAAATCATTCCCTCATAAGAGCTAATGTAAAATGGATTAATCCATTTTTGGACCACAGATGATTGCTTATTTAAACATTAGAACTGTACTTTGTGTACAAATCATAAAAAATGTAAAATAAAAAACAAGTAAGTACTCCCTTACCCCCAGAAAAAGAAAACAAATTTTACATTATGCCCAAAGAGACTTTTTTTAACCTTTTATGTTACCTTTATTTATTAAATATCATGTTCTTTGCACTTAAACCGTAAAATTCAATTCCACAGCAATATAGCAAAATAATTTTAAAATGAGCATATCTTTAGAATTTCTGATACACAGTATTTCCTGCTGGAGATAAAAACGTTTTTTTTTCCCCGTACAGTTTTTCCATTGTTCGCTTTGAAATTGTTGAGTTTGTTAATAAAAAATTTGTTGAAGGTGTTACTAAATCTGAAATCAGTAACAAAACAATCGGTGGAAGATTACATTATTCAAAATTGGATGACTCTAGGTACCGTTGTTTTGCGTGAAACATACATACATTTATGCAGATTCTTCATTGTTTAATTCTTTAAATATAACGAAGGGTGATAATATTTGGTGGCAACAATTTGAAAAGTGAACCAACATTTATAGTGAATCAATGCAAAATGCCAAAACAAAATTAATAGCCCTTCTCTCCTTATAAATAAAAATTTATATGGTATTTTCTCCCACCTTTCTGCTTGCCTTCGGGGTGTAGCGGTAGCACACTCCGCACATATCCAAGAAATCCAGGTTTGAGTCCCGGTGAGGGCGTTGCTCATTTTTCAAAATCCTAATGACTCTACAATGGCACCCTAATTAAAAGGTGGTGGATGATGATTCTTCATTACCAGGATTTGGTGGTTGGTCCCCCCTAATCCCCAGTCACCCTTAAAAAGGGAGAGTATATAAGGTATTTTCTACCTCCTTTCTGCATGCCTTAATGATTTAATGGTAAGCACATTCAGCACATAGTCAAGAAATCCAGATTTGAGTCTTGGTGAGGGCATTGCTCATTTTCATGTCTCCTGTATCAAAAAGTTCTAATGACTCTGCAAATTAAAAACAAAATATTAAATATATAAAATAACATCAAATGTTAATTTTGCCATTCTATATGAAGCAGAATGAAATGCATAAGTAGAATATGATGAGAAAGAAAAGATTTTTTTTTAATGAGGAGTCCCTTCCGTAAAAACATCAGGTAATTTTCTTTCTACAGCGTCTTGTTTTATCTTTTCTCTATCTATTAGCATCACTCAGCTCTGCTTGAGTCTCACTCATTTCACTCAAACTTTGTCCAATACGATTTGTACTTTTCTCAAGTAATTGAAAAATGCTTTTTCTGTAATTTGTTATTGCATTATTAGGGTAATACTGTTATATGAAAACTTTGTACTTCATTCCATTTTGTGCAGATTTTGCATATCAAAGAACTAAAATCGTCTTGCATACCTTTATTTTTCCCTGAAGACATTTCCTTTACAATTTTTATTGTTGCTTCTGAAATTTTGCTCTTTTTCATTAAGCTTATTTTATGATTCACTAATAATTAGTCTAGTAGTTATTTTATAATGTGCTAGTAATGTCCTAAAGTTATTCTAGCGCTATCTTGTTGAACTCATTTTTATAATCTTCTAATAAATTCTCTGCATCTTCGTTGTTAATTTACAAGCTCATGGCTTTGCCTAGAGACACAGTGTCACAGATTACAAAATAATCCTCAATATCAAAGTCTCGAAAGTGTCTGCCTACAATCTGGCTGTAATTTTCTGCAGATGAAATTCATGGCCACTTACTGACAGGCTTTATTAATAAGTTACCAATAGAAGATATATGCCTGTTAAAGATGTGTCGGAGGTTATCTCAATGTGTCTCTGAAGATCATTTGATGCCGACTTGATTGTTTACAACTCGAGACACTGTTCATCAAGACTTGAGACATATTTTCAAATAATTTGTACTCATTTGTTCATAGTGAGAGGCATTTGTGATACAGAGTTCTACTACAGTATTTTCTGTTTATATTTTTAATCTGTGTTGGTTTAAACAAAGAATTTTATTCAATGAAATAAGTCATAAGTGAATAGTAGTAACTAAATGCATTTTATGACATAATAATTATAGACTTCTAGTTTTAAAATACAAATGATGTTAGCCTAGTTCAAGCACTAGCTACAGTGCAGATAACATTTGGTGCTATCTGCATTAGAGATAATACTATCAAAGTAAGAATTGTCATGTAGTTATTTATATGTACAGGCTATCAAATGATTATTCTAATATAGTATATAGAGATATTAGTACAAAGTAATGAGGGTTTGGAGCATCATATATATTATATTACATAATAAAAGTCGCCCAACCGGTACGGTGGTTAGGGCCACTGACAGCTGTCCCAGAGGGCCCGGGTTCGAATCCTAGAGAAGGTATGGATGTTTGTAAATGTATAGTGTTGGTGCACATGGCAGCACTCTAAGTATGCGGCAAGTTGAAAGTCCTCTCTGGAAGGAGAGAGGGGTGGGAGATCTTCAGATCCGTACCCACCCAGGTGCTGTCCATCAAAATTGGGAGCAGAACTGAGTTAAATCGCACTGTTATCTGAATGGTGCTCAAGGCTGTTGCCAACGGCAGGTATAATCTCTTGCTCCTTGCCACAAGGATTTTTGTGGACTTGAGCTGACTACGTCTGACAAGTGAGCATAAGCAACAACATAATAAAATATTTTACTTCACTTTTCAGGCTTTTTCATTTCTGTGCGATGTAAAAGCCATTAATTTTTTTTTTTTTTTCTGAACAGAATTTAAAAGTGTTTACCATTTTCTAATAAATAAATGCATTTAATTTTTTTTTTTTTTTTTTTTTTGCAAGATTACTTAAAATTCTTTTCCGTTATATTTGATTTTATTATTGTATAATTCATTCTGACTAAAATGTAGTAGAAATCGGGGTATTGACATATTAGCACAACCACCTTGGCACAGTTAGGTGATTTTCTACTGTTGAAAAAGCATAATATATAATTGCAGAAAATTATTTATTAGGTGAATTACATATTTTAGGCATTTATCCCAAAAATCAATCGATAAATCTGCTTGGAGGTGAGTTCTTGTTTCTTTTGTTCTGCTGGAACTTTCATGAGCACTAAGTATTTATTCAAAATATTTGTTCTTTTAGCAATTTTGCAGAAAAATATTGTTTGTAGAAATTTTATCATATTTACTTCCTCTGCATGCAAATCTTTAAAGTGTATATTTTAAAATTCTGTTTAAGATGATTACAATTTGTATTTTGATTTGATTTTGATATTATGATTTGTGCATAAAAATTGTTGAAACTTGGAATACAACAATAAAAGGGTGAAAAAGCAAAGCAAGCATTGAATATAACAAAAGTGCGTGAAAATTGTGACATTGCTAAAACAGATGAAATACTAATGTGGTTGCCTGAAAAACTGCTATGCATATGGTTGCCAGAATTTGGCACATTCTGGAAACTTTGTGGCTTCTATTAACTCTTGCAGGCTATGATGATCATTATATTGGTCCTAGTGTTGTCCACTTTGGTGGTCCTGTCTTTTTTGCCCTTTTTGTAAGCTGAAAGTGTAGGATGAACTGTCAAATTTGATGTCTGTGGAGATTTAATAACTTATTACTTTCAAAGGTCTATTTTCTATGTTGTTCCCTTTTTCAGTTCCTGAAAATTCCTGACAACCGTACTCATTAAACCTGTAAACTGAGCCTTGGTATGCTTTCGAATATTCTGTATGTTTGCAAGATTTTTTGGAGTTATTTTGCTTCGTTTTAGAACAGTATGCTGAAACAAAAAAGAGAGCTGACTGAAGAAGAAATACGAAAACTTCTACACGAGTTTGTGAAGTGCTAACTCATGTAACATCAGAAAACACAAAATTATAATACAAAATATTAAAGGGTGGCAAATAACTATCTTGTACCTTCTTCCTTTTCTTTCTGAAACTGTATACTCTGCATGATTTCCCCCTTTCTGATTTCAAAGCTTTTTACTGTAAAAAATTGCTTTAATTTTGATAGAATGTCAAAACATGTTCATTTATTAAATCTGTAAAATTACTTTAAGAGAAAGATAAAGAGAATTCATTACTAAATATGGTGCTTTCCACATTGCGATTTCATACTATTAATGAAGTTAATATTTTAGTGAGTTGAATTCCCTGTAACATAATAACGTTAATTGCTAATTTTAAATAATAAACCTGAAAAATAACATTACTTGCTAATTTTCAGTAATAAACAATGGAAAATGGTACTTGTTCAAATAATCCTCCATTTCTTACTTTTTAAACTAAAATATATCATTTCAGAAAATAGCTTCTTGTCTTCTATTTTAAGCCGCTGGTATTTTCAAACTCAGTATAAACTAGAGGGAGTTAAGTAACAGAGCATTGCAGCATGAGCAACAACAAATTGTGTAGTTTATTCAGAAAGTAAGGTCCAATTTATTATAAAACATAAAGAAAGATGGATTTTTTTCATAAACTTTTTTATTTAATTCCTTACGTGTTTCTCCATTTTTCTACATAGTTTCCATATTTATTTAAACATTTTTTAAAACCATTTTATAAGCGTTTGTATGCTTAAGTCATAGATATCTACTGCCTGGGAGGATAGGCATACTTGATTTGCTTCTGTCACCTCATCATCTGTGGCTAAATGCTTGCTGCTGTGAAGATCCTTTAGATAGTCGAAAAAGTGAAAATTAGTCAGTGATAATTACTGTATGGTGGGTGGTCAGTATGTTCCCATCCAAAAGAATTGATGAGATTTGGGGTAATAATGACAGAGTGGAGTCTGGCATTGTTATGCAGCAGCAAAACTCGAGACATCAGAAAGCCACATCACTTATTCTGTATCGCATGTCTAAGTTTAGTCAGTGTAGCTCAGTAAGCAGCTGCATTTATTATTGTCCCTTGCTGCATAAATTCTACTAACAAGACTCCATGTCTATCTTAAAATACAGTTGCCATAATCTTGCACACTGAGATTGTGCTTGGTCTCGATTTTTATGGGTGATGCCATTTCAATGACTGACATTTAGACCCTGGGGTCATGTGAGAAACCCACTTCTCATCTCGTGTGACAATCCTTTCCTAAGATTGATCACCTTCCTTATGATATCAATCTTAAAAATCAAGAACACAAGCCATTCTTTTCATTCGGTGTTTTTCAGTAAGCTGTCTGGGAACCCAACGTGTGCACAATTTGTGAAATTGCAACTTTTCAGAGAGAATTTTGTAATGCTATCCACATTCGGAAAATGTAATGCTAAAGTTGAAATTCTGCATTGCCGATCTTCGCGAACCTTTTCATTCATGGCAATGACCAAATTTTTTGTGATCCTGATGGTTGGCCTAATCGCAGTTCATCATGGACATTTTCTCGTCCATTCTTGAAAACTCTCACCCACTTATGCAGTTTGCTGTCACTCATTGCATTGGATCCATGCACATTATTTATCTGTTGATGAATTTCGGCTACTGAAATGTTCCTTACTGTCAAAAAATGAATCACTGACTGTATTTCGTTACATTTATTTAGTTAATGGGCTGATTGGTTATTTTAAACATTTTGAACTGACTCTGTATATAGCACACTGCAACAGTACCAATGCGAATGATGTCGTTTGATGAGCAAGGCATGCTGAGAATCGGTACTCATGCGCATTTCAGTGTTCGTGCTTCATTCAGTTAGCTATGCCACTTTGGACCTTAGTTTCCAAATAACACTCATATGCAAACAATGCATAGTGCAGTGAAGAACTAGACATTGTATATTTTAATTACTTGACAGTTTTCACTGTTAAACATTACATTTTCACCCAAATTTTAATATTTGTATTAAAATAAAATTTTAACCTTTCTGCAAAGTTTAAATTTTACCATTTCCATATGGTTTAAATTTTTAATAATTTAAAATTTTTTAAACCTGTAGAGTCATTAGGATTTTTTGGAAACAAAAGATGTGAAAAATGAGCAGTGCCCTCACTGGGACTCGAACCCTGGACCTCTCGAATATGCACAATGTGTGCTACCGTTACACCACGAAGGCATGTGGAAAGGAGAGAGAAAAGACCGTATAAACTATTCCTTCTGTATTAAGAATTGCTAAGAATTTGAATATTTTGGATAAAGTATATAGCAAAATAACTAAAAATTAAAAAGAACTTGACAGTAATAACTTTTCTGTGTACTGCAACATTTGCATGGTATTCTTTTACGTTATGAAGCCATAAATGGTTGTAAATTTAAGGAAATAAGTTCATGAAAATGTATGGAAAAAATTTTAGATGTATTAGAAAAATGAGGTGGAGACCTGATAAAGCAAAAGAGATTTTAAAATGTATAAAATAACAAAATATGGAAGAATTTTATTACATAACTTTAAAATAAAAAATATAATAGAATCAACTCTTGCTAACACTATATAAAGGCACATAGTTTGGTAAGGTGAATTAAAATCATTATTTGAAAATTCAAATTAAAAAAAAAAAAAAGGAGAAGAAGAAAGCTATGAGCTATAGTATGGGGAAACAGAATGACATTTTCTTTAATGGAACTATACCTTCTCTTCCATGTATCATTGAATAGTGTGATTTGGAATCAATTGCTTATATAAATTTTCCCTCCATAAGGAAAAAAAAAAAAAAGTGTAGAAGTTTAGTCAATAATCCTTACATTTCCTTCTGTAAAGCATATGCACCTTTAAGGATAAATCAAACTTAACTAAAAGGGCCACTAATGCAACAGAAAAGGACTTCTCAGATGTGGAGAAGTGTAAGGTAGAAAAATGCCCACCTTTTTTAAGGATACATAATCATACATTAAGTATCAAATTTAGTTTCAAATTCCATGCTGATTAAAATTATTCTGTATTCTTGTTTATTATATTTTTTTACTCGATGCATTAATGTTTAAAATTATATCAAATTCAACTTTACACAGTAATGCTTGAAAATTTATCAACATTTGGTATTGATCTTAAATAATCTTAATAAAAGGGGGGACTCTCAATCTGCAAACTTTAGACTACAGTTTAACACCTTAAAAAAGCATTTATCATTAAAAATTTAAAAACATAAAATTTATGAAAAATTATAACAATTATTTTAGTTTTGTTGCATAATATCTACAGTTGCCAATTTACAAAAATTAGTTTTTATTGCTAAATGAAATTTTGAAAAGTATTTGAAAAAATTTCTGTTAGAACATTTTTAAATTTTTAAACAGTATAAACTTAAAAATATCAAATTATTAAAGTGTACTACTGTTTGAATAAAATTTGAAAAAAGGAAAAGAAATGCATATTGAGAAGATTCAATTCCTGGCAAATGATTTTCTTGTGAAACTTGAGTTTATTTCCTGTGGCCCAGGATAAGGTTGGTAAATTTTATTATTGTTAATGACCTTGGGTTTTCTAATTTGTATAAATTTGAATGAATCACATAGAGATTTTGGAATGCATATAATTAAAAGCTGCATCTGGTAAATTTGTTGCTTCGCTTGTGGGTCAGCAACATTCTCACTGTATTATGTTTTATGCTTTAAAAGCATAAATACACACTTTAAGAAGAGCAACCCTAAAACATGTTCAGTCTGTAGAGTCATTAGGATTTTGGAATTAGGAGACACTACAGTCAGTTAAGACTGTTAAAACTAAGTAACACCAGACATAAAGAAATTGATCTATCTTAAACAGGTGCAAATTTCATACTAAATTTTAAAATTAAAGTATCATAACTTAAATTTTGATAAATAAAATGGTAACCAGTTTTGAATCGAATATTTTTTATGTGTGCATATTTAATACAAATAGCCAATGGGTTGTGCAAATGGTAAAATATACTTTTTTTCTTTTTTAATATTTGAGAAATTGAAAAATAATTATTATAAAATGTAGTGGTGGTACTGAAGGTTTTCAGTTTTTGTTTAAATGGTACATGTTAGTCAAAAGGTTGAGAACTGCTGCTCTAGAGGGACAAAGCTCTTTTCGAGAAAACCTTTATACTCAGTATTAGTCATTGAAAGTCCTTGACCATCTATGAAGGATTAGATTTCCTTTATGTTAAATTAATGAATTTCAGAGACATTTAGCTTGAAAAGATATTACAATATGTGAATTATTAGCTGTTTGTTAATGAAAAAAAATTGTTGCAAATATCATGTTTATATTATAAAGTATTTCTCCCGCCTTCTTAGCATGCCTTTGTAGTGCAGTGGTCTGCACGCTGGGAGCGTATTCCAGACATCTGTGGTATTGCTCATTTTTCACTTCTGCTTCCAGAAAGTGCCTAATGTCTCTACAGTGGTACTCGAACTAAAAGGGTGGTGGATGATGATTCTCCATACCCAGGATTTGGGGATTGAGTCCCCTAAAAACCCAGTAGTCCTTTAAAAAGGGGGAGTATATAAGATATTTTTCTCGCCTTCTTAGCATGTCTTCGTAGTATAGTGGTCTGCACGCTGGGTGCGTATTCCAGAGGTCTGTGGTTCGATTCCCGACGAGGGCGTTGCTTATTTTTCATAATTCCTGCTTGCAAAAAATATCTAATTTCTCTACAATATAAGCAAGCGATGTCTGTTATTGAAAGTTATGGTACTAAATGGTTCTTTGTAAAATACTGATGTGTGTACTGATATGTGTATATGAAACTTTTAATTTCTAAAGTTATGTGATCTTAGTTTTTAAGTTCACTTGTTTTCAGCTCACTTTTTTGTTTCTAACTTTGATAGTTTTGCTAGAATACATACTTTATTTATTTAAACTAATTTTTAATATGGGATTAAAGTATTCATTTATGTTAGTAAAAGTGCCTTAATAAAGTTTGTTAATCATTCTAGATAAGTAATGAGTATTGAATATCTTTTGTCATAGCTACCAGTTGCTGTGAAAATTCTGAAGGAAGATGCAGTATCCCTTCCCGGTGCATTTGAAGATTTTATGAAAGAAGTTAATGCTATGCATAGTTTGAATCACCCAAATTTAATTCGATTATTTGGAGTAGTGTTGTTATCCCCATTGATGATGGTTTGTATGCTTCTCTATTCATACATACTTTATATGCCTTTAATTTTCAGATATAGGTGTGTGATATATTAAGTGTTTATTTCATAGGTTACAGAGCTTGCACCTCTGGGATCTCTAAGAGATTGCTTACGAAAAGAATGCCATCACACTCCTGTCTCTAGACTTATAGAATATGCTGTACAAATTGCTGCTGGCATGGCTTATCTTGAATCTAAAAGATTCATTCATCGAGATCTTGCTGCTCGAAATGTACTGTTAGCTACAAAGACAAAGGTAATTAAAATAAGAATAAATCTGTTCTACATTAATGTGCAAGTTAAAATAATTGTCACCGAACAGTGCATATATTCATCGTCTGTCTTTTTTAAGGTAAAAATTGGTGATTTTGGACTTATGAGAGCTTTGCCCACTCAGGAAGATTGCTACATCATGACTGAGCATAAGAAAGTTCCTTTCCCGTGGTAAATATTTTTAAATAATAAAGTGTGTATAAATTGTATGCACACTTTGCTAAAATAATATATTTGTGTGTATAAATGTTATTTTAAGGAAGTGCTTTTTAGTGACATATATTGCTCATTTCATTGTTTCCCAAAATAAAAGCACAGATACATAGTTCAGTATCTTCAAAGTGTCTGTGAAACATATAGCATATGAAAAAAAGTACAAGAAAATTTAAATGAGCTGTACCTTTTTATGAACAATAATCGAATTCGTGTATCTGTTGTTATATTAACTCATTGTTTAATATTTCATTAGTAGTATATTTTATAAAGAAACCATACTTAACAATATTATATTATTACAACACATATTTATATTATTTTTATTGGACATAAATACTTAACTGCTACTTTCATTATAACTTAAATTATATAAGTCATGTTTTGAAGTTATAATGACTCATAGAAAAAATACACTTATTAGTGTATCATAGCAAAAAAGATTGAAATCAAGTATTCTTATATAACAGATTTGTTTTAGTAATATAGAATAAAGGTAAGAAACAAATGTGTCCTTTGTTAATATTTTAAACATAATAAACTTATTAGATTTTATTTACATTTCTGAACCTTTAATCATAACTTGTAAGCTGATTGAAGATTCATTGCAGCAATATCAAATTACTGCAAATGCTGTACAAAAATCTTTTATTATTAAGCTTAAAATAATTTATGTGATGGATATAATTTTTTAAGTATATTAGTGCTATTTAAATCTGTGTACACTTGTATTATATCAGTATTTAATTACATTTTGGCCATTAGAAAATAAATTTAAATGCTGCTTGTTATTTTTGTTTCCCATCTTATATTTTGTCAGCAGATTATCTATGGAGTACTTTTTTAACTTTAAGCAAATAGAAAAAAGTATTTTTCCAGGTAATTGGCTTCAACTGAAGTGCAGGGGCTATTCGCATATTATTTAGACGATTTTGCTTTGCTGTAAAAAAAAAATTCCTCTGCTTGGAATTTTTTTTAATTGCAACTATATTTTTGAAAGTATAAAATATTGTCTGCTACTTGATAGTTTTCTTTTCGTGTGAAATGTTGCTTTTAAAGAAGCACTGGATGGAAGTTTATATTTGTCTCATTTCCAAAGAAAATAATTCATATCTGGTTACTAAAAACTTGGAAAAATTGTTCCAGATATGTATAGAAGGAAAAAGTGGAATGTTTTGAATGTTGCAAAACTAATATCAGTATTTTTCCATTTTGTCGGCGCAAGCGATACAGTCGTCAAAAATGGTACAACCGATGGAAAAAGCAATATCCTTGCTGGTAACCTTTCACGCCTCATTTTCAAAACAAGTCGCTGCTATTTCTTATGAGATAGATTGTTTCTTTCATTACTGGCACACAACTGCATATAATTTTTACCAGGTAGTTCAATTTTATGCTCTAAGGCCATTCATGGTAATTAAGTCAATTAGGATGCACTCACACCGCTCACCCGAAGGCGAAAATATAGAAAAGGCAAAGTGAAGGGTTAAATTCCTCTATTCTAATGAGAATGCATTAGCCAAGTAAAAGCACTGCAGTTTTACATAATTTCTGAGTAAGCTATTCGTATGAATTGAAATAATTTTTGCATTTAAACTTGTATTTCAAATTAAGATTTGAAATTAATGTAGATAATTACTGAAATAATTAGATTTTTGTAGCTTACTTTACGTGAGATAAGATCACTGAAGGTCACGTCATATGAACCGGTGAATCAGCTTGTTAAGCCATAAAAGCATAATAAATTCTTAATGTATTTTTACAAATTTATTGTCTTTATTTATTGGCTTCTTACAAAATTTTAAAGGATATTAAAATGTTTATACCTTCAAAATAAAAATTCCTTAGAACTTCTTTTTTATGTGTATACTGTGTGTTGTCGCCAATAAAGTCTGCTTGGCAAGATTTGCAACAGCGAAACGGAAAAGTACCCTAATATCTTTAATTTTAAAAGAAAATTTGCAGTCAAAGACAGTTGCAAAATCATTAAAATGCCCACTGTCAACAGTAAACAAAGTTATTAATGCTGATTTGAATCTCAGAAAGAAAAAAAAAACGTAATGTGCATCCCCTTTTCTTATGACATATTGCTGAATGCAGAACGCGCTGCAGAATTCTCTGTGAGAAACATTTACCTAACCAAAAATGGAAAAATATTGTCACGATAGACGAGGGGGTGTATTTAAATGGCTGCTATAAAAAGAATCCATTTATTATCATTAAAGAGAAGGAAAAAAAAAAAATCTTAAAATATGGTTCAAGGAATCTAAAGAGAGTTTTTTAAAGAGATTTATGATTGCTGCTGATTTTTCACGTAACGGCAAATTAAAAATAAAGAGAGTGGAGGAAAATGTTAAAATCAACTCCACATAGTATCAAGAAACATATTTCATATCCAAATTTCAAATATGAAATAACTTTTGTTTGTACGTAATGAAGTCAATCAGTAGAACAGCAGCAAGACAAAGCAAGTAGTGACATGTCAAAATCTACTGTTGATTTCCTGAAAAAAGTTGAACAAGAAATTGGTATCAAGGCCATTCCTTTCACTCTTATAGGTACTAAATCTCTTGATCTATCACCAATGCATTTGTGTGGTTTTGGATTTTTAAGAAGCAGGTTGTCCGAACTTCAACCTACAACATCCTGAGACTTTGGAAAGCTGTTGAAGAGCAATGGGATAAAATAACTCTTCCGATAATGTAAAAGGTTTTGTTTTTATTGTCTTGGAAATTATGGTGTGTAAAGGTAGTGAAAAAAAGGGGTTATCAAATAGAACATTTAAAACATAAAAAAAAAAAACTAGGTAAAATTTTCTGTAATTACAATGAAAATTGTCTAAAAAATGTGTGACTATTAAATTAATGTTTGCTCTATTATGCACTGTTTTTCAAAATATGTCTTAAAATGCACAAAAAAAAAAAGTGTAATTCAAATGACTATATTTTTCCTATAAGGTGTGCTCCTGAAAGTTTGAAATCTCGACAGTTTTCTCATGCAAGTGACACATGGATGTTTGGTGTAACACTTTGGGAAATGTTCACGTTTGGAGAGGAACCTTGGGCTGCATATACAGGAGCTCAGGTAAATTCCTCGATTCTGCATATATGTGTGTGTAAGATAAGAAATATGTAAATCAGCTTTATAATTTAGTTTAGTAATAGCCTCTTAATTCCTCATTTTTAATTTGGTTATTTCCTCTCTGTATTCTAAAAGTAGTTAGAATTTTTCTAGACTGCATCATTTTTAGATTAATATATTTCACATCGCTTGTGTGATGTTGATGACATAGTGAATTTGAAACTTAAGATCAAAATTTTGAGAACTGAAACCTTTCTAACCTAAACCAAAACCTTCTCTTGATGAGCTTCCATGTTGGATAATTGTGATCTTTAGCTTCAGCTCTCCTGTGCTCAAGATGATGCTCTTGTGCCTCTTTCTATCACAATAGTATCGAATATGTAAACATTCCGGAAATAGGCACGATTAGAGTGTTGAGTGAATTGTGGCCACAAATGCCAACTGAAGTAAAAAATGAATATTTAATCTTACTCGGCTGCCAAGATTCCTAATCATCACAAATTCAACATTTTAGCAAACTATGAAGTGAGAATTCTTCTTCTTCTTCAATATGGATCTGTGTTCTAAGCTATCTACATACTATGCCACCAACATTGATCCATCTTTTTCTCTTTTTCATATTATATTTATACATATATATATATATTTGCCAAATTTTTCTTTTATTTTTATACTCACACCTACTGTGTCTGGTGTAGTTTTGTGTTAAAATTGGTTATTAATAATTATATCTGCATGTGTACAGGTAAATAGAGATGTAATTTTTGTCTTTGAAATTAGTCATACTTTTGAACTCTAATTATTCTGCAGAAGTTTAAATTACTGAAATTTGTGTTAAATGTTTATACACATTTTTGTGAGTGAGATTAAGATCAAAACATTCTTAATAAGATTAATAAACACATTTTTTTAACTGCTGTTCAAAAGCAGTAATAAAACTGCAAATAAGTAAGTAAAAACTTTTTGTGGGCATGTGGAATAAAGAATAAGATTTTTCAATTAAATTCATGTTTTACTATTTTTACTTAAGTTGCAGCTGACTTACAGCAAAATTTGTTAATTAAAATTTCATTTTATTAAAAGGGAGGATTCTCACTGTTTATTTTTCTGATTTAATTGTATGTAAATGCCATATGTTTGGTCTGAAAGATGCATTTGAAGTACCTTGGGAATAAACTGATTACGCTATCATCAGTAGTTTTTTATATTAGAGTTCAAATTCCAGTGTTTTCACATATGTCTATGATGTTTTTTCCCTTTTTTTAATTAATTAATCGTGAAAAATATGTGAATTTTTTAAAGGTTTATTGATATTGTTATTTATTGTAGCAAGGTATGTTGATTGTCAGAAATCGTAATTTGTTAAGACAGATTTATTATTTTGAAATCTAATTCAAGACAATTTGAAATTTTTATGTCTTAGCAGAAGAATTAAAACCACTAAAGGAGATAATAAACATTGATGTCTGCTTTGCTAAATTACAATATTAATGAATTCCTAATTTACTTAATTTAAAACATCCTTTTTCCATGCCCAATGCTGCAGTTTCATAGTTGTCTTCATATTTAGCATCTTTCCAGGTTAAAATTAAGTTTCATTTGGTAACTGATCTTAATGGCTATGGATGAAATCATAGCCCCCCTTTTTTTTCTTTTTTTTTTCTTTTTTAAATCAGTTTGGCCATTGTATTTTACCTTTGGACTTGCAAAAGAAAGTTGCAGTTGCATGAAGCCATCCACTCTGCACAGAAACCTGAAATTTCATCTTTGCACAGTTTATTTGTGTAGCTTTCATGCTATCATGTAAGACTGAAAATAAAACTGCTGGAGTTAAATATATCCGTTCCTGTTTCTGAGGCAACCATCCTCTCCATTAGATGACCTTATGTAATGCATGCAATCTTGTATTTTCCATATGAAAAATACTCAATTATCTTCCCCCTCCCCCCCAAAAAGAATTTGACATGAAAATACGAAAGAAATTGGCAGAAATATGCAGTAGGAAAAATTGTATGCAAATTTGAAAATTCTTGATATGATTTAGTAAAACTTGGGTCTAGTTTGTGTTCTCTTTGTAGAATCAAAGAAAACTTAAGAGTATATATACATTTTTCTTCTTTTTATGGAAATTTAGTCAAGCATAATATAGTGTTTTTAAATAATATTCTCTTTGTAATAGATTTTACAAAAAATAGACCAAGAAGGGGAAAGATTACCTAGACCTGAAGCATGTCCCACTGATATTTATCAGCTTATGTTACAGTGCTGGGCACATAAACCAGCTGATAGACCAACATTTTTAGCTCTACAGGACTTCCTTTGTGAGGTAGAGATTTTTACACAAGTTGAACATATTGTAAATTTGAAATACTTTTCATTAAATTAAGTAATGTTTAATGATTTTTCATCTTTCAAGGCTCGCCCATTGACACTCACAAGCACACAATCTTTTGATGAGCCCGATAAACTTAAAATTGAAATTGGAGATGTCATTGAAGTTATAGAAGGAAGGTAAGAATGAAGAATATGCTATAATTTTATGAATGAAAATTTTTAAAACTGCTAAAAATTCATTCATGAAAAATAATTTGAAATATGATTTGTATTTTTTTTTTTTTTTTAGAGATAGCTTAGCCTATGCTGCATGTATATATAGTCATTTATTAGCCTGTTTTCAGCAGGAGTTGATTAGCACCAGTTATTCAGAATACTAGAATATTTAATTTTGGCAAATCAATTGTTAAAATTGAATTGTAATATTTATGTAGACAGTATTTACTTACATGTATTCTACTTCAAATTTAAAGAAAGAAAGAAAGAAAAATAAGTGTAACAAAAAATTGCAGTGTCAGTTGTATAATACAAAATATATTCAGGAGAATTTTGTATATAACTAAGGTAAAGCATAAGTAAAAATAAAAAATTAAAAGAAAAGTATATTAAGGATATGTAAAATTGCATTTAAAAAGTACTTTCAAATTTATTATTTATTCTATACATTTATATTTATTATAAACCAGTTTCGAAAAATCAGACTATTTGTAATTTCAGTTTCAGTTTAAAACTGATTACCAAATTATTCATCTGGACTTATACAAGTTACATAAGCTATACATGTTACACTTATACAAGCTTTGGTACTGTCTGTTATCAGGACTGGGTTCAGAAATGTATGTATGCATATATGTAAGTATGAATGTATGTGCATGTATACATATACACCTACATGCATATACATACAAATACACATTCATACATTTCTAAATCTGGTCCTGGTAACAGAAAATGGACTAAGTTTTCTAATTTAGAAATGGAAAACTTGTGTAAGTATAGTGTATTACAGTACAAATTCTGAAATGTGGATTTGTCAAGACTGAGCGATTCTGGATTTTAGATCATTGATTTAAATTTAGGAAAATGGCAAGTAGAAATTATAAAATTAAAACTGTGAACTAGTTGTTTCTGAAACAAACACTGCACGTTGTTAAAGTTTATATAGTTTCTTTTTTCGTGCACAAAGTTCCATAATTGAATCCTGTAACTGCGAAGTCAAGAATTCCCACTAAATTGTCATTGGAAATTTTTTCACTCTCAGCAACATTTTTCACCTTCTTCACTATCAGTGGTGATTAATCCAAAGGGACTTTGTCCCTTAAGGACTGTTGTTTTTGTTTTGCGATTTTGCATTGAATCACTATAAATGTCCATTTCACTTCTCAAACTGTTGCCACCAAATGTTAGAGTCCTGCATTATATTTGAAGAAATTAAATAATGATAAATCTGCATAAATGTATGTATATTTCTTGCATTGTGATACAACAACGGTACGTAGAGCCATCAAATTTTGAATGATGTAATCCTCCTACAAATATAGGCATGTGGAAGACCAAATTTGAAATTTGGAATTTGTTTTATTATTGATTTCGGATTTTATAAAACTTTAACGAATTTCTGTGTAACAAACTCAACGGTTTAAAGCGAGCAGCGGCAAAACTGTACGGGGGAAGGGGGGCTTTTTATCTTCAGCACGTGGAACTGTGTATCGGACATTCTAAAGATACGCTCATATGCTCATATTAAAATTATTTTGCGACATTGCTATTGAACTGAATTTTATGGTTTAAGTGAACATGAAATTTAATAAATATAGGTAACACACAAAATGTTAAAAAAAAAAAAAAAAAAACACCCCTTTGGACATAATTTAAAATCTGAAAACTTTCAGTTTTTTTTTTTTGGCATTCGGAATGGTGCCACAGATTTTGACTAGTTTTCTCGTTTTAGCATAGCTTAGTGCTTACCTTTTATCTGCTATTCAGTATTGGTGATATATCATGAGATTGACAGCTAAAGACTTGTTGTTCTTCTAAATATTCTCTTGCTTCTATCGTGCATTGCTCGAATTACATTAGCTATGTATTACAATTACACCCATTTTCTGCATATGCTCGAAACTTATACAAGTCTGTAGGTCTGAATTATTCCAGATTTTGTACATCCAGATTGCAGACTTTGTATTAACTTTTAATATAGTTGAATTGTGAATTATATGGAGGTCATGCAAAACTTAAATATTAATTATCTGTTGTTTAGAAGCTTTATAAATAATGTAGTGAGTAGATTATTATTTTGTTTGCTGTGTGTATTGTACAAGTTTTATAATAAAGCTAGAGAAAGTATTTATTTTAAATAGAAAAACTGTATCAGAAGTACTGTTTTGTACTCATCAGTGTTGCGAATTATATTTTCGGTTTACAAGAGAAGTCATCTGTCTTAAAATTTGTCTTAAATATGTTATGCATATTTCTAATACTGGGAATCAAAACTCAAACAGTAAAATGGAGAGGATTTTTTTGCAGGATATTATGATTTGCTGGATATTGGGATTTTGTAGAATATTAGGATTTTTGCAGGATTTGATAGATTTTTGAGGATATTATTTTGTGCTTATTGATTGAATGTAAAGCAATAACAGTATTATATTATTGTTTTCTTGCAGCAAAATCAATACAATTAACATGATTGCTTCCTGATAGCCTGGTTGATACCCTAATGAATTATTTTAATTGTCATTGTATTTTTATGACATATTGCATGCATATTCAAAATAGAGATCTGGAGGCATTTTTCGTTAAAATAGTGTATTATATATAACAAGCAGTTTTATCATTTGCTGAAAATATCATGACTTTCCTCTACTACTTCAGAGCTGTTGCAGCATAACTTGAGGCATTCCATAGGGAGCGTATTGTGTTATTCAAAATTTTTAGTATTGTATACTAAATACTAAAAAATAATCAAGGCCCACAGAAGGGCACATATTGTTGTAACTCTCAGTTTAATAAATCAGTGACCTGTTTGTTTGCATGCTTCATTATGATAATTAAGTAGGTACACACAGCATCTGGGTTCACTGAAATACTGGCACCAGAATTGAATGCTGAACTATTGGGATGTAGAATGTACCAAAATTAATTTTATGCTGGGTGATTTATCATTATTTGTTATACATGTATTATTTCCATTGGTGCAATATGTAATGTTCTAATATTTCTGTGCTAACGTCTTTGGACGTTTTAATACAAATTTGTGTATATTTTACAGTAACAAGATAAAACAGATTAGTATTTACATTATTTACATATTGGAAAATTCATAACAATATTTTGCTGCTGCCAGCTGTAATTAACTAAATAAGCTTAAACTTAGTTTTTCAATTAATTAACATCAGTAAGTGAATAAAATGAGTATTTTCCAGTGGAATCAAATAATAAAAACAATAAAATTGAAATGAAATAAAAAAAGAAATGATTTTGAATATTTAAATCGATATTTTTTATCAAAATTGTAAATTTATACAAATTGTATTCCAGCATAGATAGATGTTAATTCTTTTTCCTTAATTTCCTTTTCATTTTTGATTATTATTATTTGAATAATTCCTTTTTTTTAATATCAGGCAAGAATTTTATTGGTGGAGAGGCCAGAATCAGAGGACGTTCCATATAGGAATATTTCCACGACTCATCGCTGATCGTCAAAGGCCAATAACAGGTGACGATATCAGTAAGCCACTGCGAAATAGTTTTATACATACTGGACATGGTGATATTTCCGGGCGATCTTGGGGTAGTCCAGGTCATATTGATGAGTAAGCAATTAATTGTTTATTAGGAATATTAAAATTAAAGCTTCCATATATAAATGTATAAAAAGTATAGTATATTAAAAATTTCTATAAATTGTATGGTTTTATTTAAATTATAAAAATTATTTTATAACTGTTGCATTTAGAGTAAGTTCATATTTTATGATAAGTCACTTCTATAAAATATTTGATCTTCCAAAAAATTTAATAATTTTTTAATATATATTTTTTGTATAAAAATAATAACTTTAATCTGCATTTCAGAGTGTATCTTCAGAACCCAATGGAACCTCCAGATTTATTAGGATTAAAGGAAGAGCCGCTTCCAACTCCTAGATTACGTGATCGTAATGCAAGTAAGTTTCAGTCTTTTACTCATCAATTGTAGTTATTCTATTATGGAGAAAAAGTGCAGAATTCATGATATGATCTGCAGTGAATCATGGCAATTTGTGATTTAGGATTTACACCAAAAACTTTAATGACTAAAGGCTTAACATTAAAAAAAAGTTCTTCCAGAAACAAAATAGTAATGCAGTTGATTAATAACATTACTAAATAAACATTGTCTTATATGTTATAAAATTGATATTTGTTTTTACAATCTAGTCAAAAACTGGCAAAAACATTGTTGAATGGTACAGACAGAGGTTATCTTCTTAAGTGCAGTGTCTGTTGTTGCATAATACTTTTTTAACATTTTACATATGTATAATTTGGCATCGCAGCTACTTGTCAATTCTGGGAGGGAGATTAATGGCATCTGTATGTTGCTTAGAAGAATAAAAATTTTCTATGTAGGCGGATTTAAAAAAAAAAAAAAGTTTTTAAGTAGCAGCATTTGATAAGTAATTTTTGTGGAGGGAATATTTTTTCCCCAGATTTGGAGACAGTTGTCTCACAGGGTTTGTGTGGTAGGCAGTGTAAGTTTGCAGATGCATCAGAGTGACTGAAATGTCAAGACTCAGTCTCGCTTGGAGGTGCAAGCCGTGATTCATTTCTTATGAACAAAGAATCTGCCCATGTCTGAAATTCACAGTTAACTCATGAAAGTTAATGGTAAAGAAAGAAGGAGCCAACAACATGTAGCAAAAGGCTGTTGCTCTTTTCAGTTTGTAAGAGAGGTTGAGGAAAACCACAGTAGGGCAGTGAACAACCATCCAAGTTTTCCATCAACAGAAATCAATGTAGCATGAGTTGAAGAATTAATTTAAAATGATCAACAGGTGACTGAAAGTAAATGTGAATATTTTTTCCCATTTCAGTTATAATAAGCAGTACTACCAATTCTACTTTCCGCTTCCTCACCAAAAGGATGCAAATGAGGATACACATACCAAGGATTTAAAAAAAAAAAAAAAAAAGACTCCTAGGGTCTCCTACCCCTTTTCCCGTACCACCACCATCTCGAGAGGACTTTTGGCTTGTCACATATTTAGAGTGCCTCCATGTCACATAGACACTATACATTTACAAACATCCATACCTTCTTCAGGATTCAAACCCAGGATGTTCAGTATGGGAGTCAGTGACTCTAACCACTCTCCCGGCTGGGCACTGTTTAAAATTTGTACTGCGTGTAGTAAATAACTAAAAATAGCAAAACAGAAATCTATTCGGGATATTTACTCGATTTTTAAACAATTATTACTTAAGTCTGAAAAAAAGAAAAACACATAAAAAACTTATTATATATGCACATATTGCTTAGGGGGGAGGGAAGAAATGAGTAAAAATGCAATGAAAAAAATTGCCAGGCTTTCTCCAAAGTTAAGTGTTATTTAATAAAGTCATGAGAACTTAGTTTTTGTTGGTCATGTTGTGCATGTATCCATGTGAATATGGTGAATATGAGTGTAATTTAATAATGTCATTAGAACTTAGTTTTTTTTTTTTTTTTTTTGTGTGTTGGGCATGATGTGCATGTATATATGTGAATATATAATTGGCACCACTGCAGTTATAATTGTCAAGCAAACATTTTTCTTGTGAAACATAGATATTTTCATTTAAGTAATGGACAAACAGATAGGAAATGCAGCTTTAATATTTGATAAATAATTTCCCGATACTGAGAAAATATATTTAAATGAAAATGTAAATTTAGCACAAGGAATTTTTATAAAATATTTAGTGAAGGTAAACTAGTTATACTGAATTTACTTATGTAATTGCTTCGCCTCTTTTTAAAACTAATTTTATTTCTTGAAAATTGAGAGGGGGAAAATTTTGTGGACAAATATCATTTCTGAAAGGAAGACTTAAATGAAGAACATAAAAAGCACAAGCAAATAAAGATACTAGCATTATATTTTTAAAAGCTGTGATTTATTTCAATAATATTCTCTTTATTTATATGTTATACTTTGCTATTTATGCATATATTGCATTTTCATACTATAAATCAGAAGTTCCTACATACTTAAATGAGCTGGGGCAGAATATGCAACTAAGTATTATATGATAGCATTAAATTTTGCTTAAAAAGTTTTAGAATTTAATCAACTTACAGAAAATAAAATCTATCTATCAGTTTCTGATTGTGAATATATAATCTTATTCTGAAAATATTATTCCCCTCGGAAACTTAGAAGGAGAAATGTGCAGAAAACTAGTGAAAATACACTGGTTATCATTAATTAAGGAAAAATCACAAAAAGTTTGATTACTCAAAAAGTTACATGTAGAATTTAATGGAACTAACCCACAGTATATTATGCATAGTAAGGTATAAAATAACTTCTAAAGAAATTACTAGAAAATTATGGTGTTATAGAAATTAGCACATGTATAAAATGAAGAAATCAGATATGTCAGTTTGGTATAGGAAAATCACCTTTAATATGGAGTATGATCTTCCCTAGAAGCAATACGACTGATGTAGCGAGGTGCAATGCCATCATTTAATATGGAGTATGATCTTCCCTAGAAGCAATGCAACTGATGCTGTCATTTATGCAGTCTATCAGTTCTTAGGAAGTGAGAGCCTTTGCTTTTGCAAAACAGTTGCAAGCATGGCAGGGGTTTGAAGAGAAGGATTGAGAGCAACTATATGTCTTCATACTATAAATCAGAAATAAAGGCATCCCATATATGCTCAATAGATTCAGGTCTGGTGATTGAGCTGGCCTTTCAATGCATTGAATTGTTTGCTGTTGAAGATAATCATTCACAGTGTGAGCCATGTGCAGTCTAGCGTTGTTGTTCTATAGCAGGAAATTATCACCTATTTCCCAGGATAAGGGTGTGCAAAAGCATCAAGGATATCTTCCCTGAGCATTCATGGTTTAACGTGGAAAGACATGGAAGTCTGTGCGTCCACCCAAAAACATACCACTCCAGATACAGACACTGCATCTGTTTCATGGATGTTTGAATGATGATAACAGGTTTTAGGTTCTCTTCAAATCAAATAACACCTATTATTGCTTTGGAGGCTAAATCTAGACTCATCCAAAAGAGGACAGCTCTTCGTTGATCAGCTGTCTAGTGGACACGTTGATGTGCCCAGTTAAAATGTTTCCTTCTACGACATGGCGTAAGCAGCACAAAATGGCTAATCGCCTTGAATACAGACCTCCTTTGTAAAGCCTTGAAGCTTTCTATGCATGGTTGACGTAGACATCAACCTTTCAGTGACTGCTGCAAGGGAGGATTGGAGTTGAGTGTCTATTCCTTTGTGCACATAACTGCAAATATTAGTCATCAGCGCTCGTCATAATGGCTGGCTGTCCATGGCTGAACCTCCTGGATGCCAAATTTGTTTTTAGAAATTGTTGCTAAAGTCTATGGACCACAGACAGACACATATAGCCATCTGGCCACTTTTGTCTGTCCTTTAGTCTCCCAATAGCTCTCTATCGTAGTTCTTCAGGCAAATAATTCCTGAAGATCATTGTTACAAATTGGCTATCCAAGATTTCTTATCTGAATATCACAGCAAAATTTCCAGGCTTGCTCTCTAAAACAAGCAATTTTATGCTCCTCGCAGATGATGTATTTCGATTTCATTGCCACTAATTTGCATACTGCAGTTTTTCTCAGCAATTCTTATTTGACAAGCTAATACAATTTTTTACAGATTGGCTTACTTTTGAATTATTGCTATTTTTGTAAATTTTTCCTTAAATTTTGGAAACCAGTGTATTTAAGTGTAAAGCCAAGAAATATTTTAAGGAAAAAAAAGGGGAACTGAAAAAAATAAAACACGTTAGACTCTTCATGTTAAATATTTCCTTGATTAACATTCCATGATTAATGTTTTAGGTGTTAATTACATAATTGGATTTCATAATTTTTAATGCCTCACAGCTTTGCAAATCGATCTCTGCATGTTTGGTCTCCAGAATTCTTTTTCGGTGTGTGTGTGTTTATTGCCATTCATGTAAAGAATTAATCATAATTTGAGTTATGTTTGTTAAAAGTTTTTTTACTTTTGGTTTTATTGTAAGTAAAACAACACACATATCAAATGTTAAATTGGTATTTGTGGTAAATTTTAAGAAAAGTTCATTAATTTTTTGTATCTTGTTTCATATTAATAAAGTTTTGTTTAAATATTCATTAAAAACTGTATTCAAATCATTTAAAAATTTAAAAATATGTTTTTCATTGTTTAATATTAATTATATTGTTTACATTGTTGCAGTTTCATGTTCCAGATAAATTTCTATGTGCATAAGAAATAATATAATGATATAGTTTTCTGGGGGGGAGGAATTACACACCTTAGTCATCAAACTTTAAGAATGTGCTAAGACTCTGCCATCACATGCATAAAAGTTTTTCAGGCAGCCACTTGCATAACAATTCTTCAGTTAAAAAAAAGTATCGTCACCATTTTTTTGTGCATTCTTTCTGTTGTATTCCGAGTTCTAGCAGTTTTTACAAGCAATTTGTGATATTTTTTGTTCTTTATTTTAAAAGATGTGCTTGTAGAATTTATCTCAATGGAAGAAATTGTGGTAAAATGTCTGTAAAAATAATTTTTTAAAGTAATTACTATAAGTTTCCAAAAAGAAAGAAAAAATCCGCTTAAGGTAATTGTGTTGTACTGGGAGATTTTTGCTTGGGAACCTCCAGGTTTTTTATATTTCATGGACGGTAGCTAAGAATACTTAATTTAAATGTAAAGTAGGTAGGTAATGTAAAATTGCATGTATGTAAATAAATAATTTTTTGCAACCATAAATCATTATTCTTTTCTGCGAAGAATTGCCAAATTATGCCAAGGTAGTTTTGCTAATATTGTAAGTATTGTTTTTTGGAACATTCTTGCTTGGTAGTTTTAAATTTATTTTATATACCACAGAGTCTGAGATCTGAAATTGGCAGAATTCTGGCAGTTCTAAATTTTAGATCCTCAGTTTAAATCTGAATAGATTACATATAGAAATTCTGAATTAAGAAATATGAAAGGTTGTTTGTGAAGTAATATGAAGTATTAGAAAGATCTTATATGCATTAGAAAGTATCTAAAAAAAAAATTATGGGGATGGGACCAGCTCAATATTAGCATTTATTTTGTTTCATTAAAATACTTTTTAGTATAAGTTATTTAAGCAATTTTATTTTATGCATCAATCCTTTCTTTTCATTTTATTAAGAGGTGTAATTTCTTGTTAAGTTACAAAATTTCATTATGTCCTGTAACTGCTGTGTTGAGAATTCCCATTAAAAAATTGATTGAAATCATCCTCAGTAACCTTGTCACTTTCTTCACAATCAGTAAAGTTATTTTCTGGATTTAAAACCATATTACAGATTTTGCCATCTGTTTATTGATTAATGCATTTTCATCACATTAAGACTTTGGCTATATCATTTTTATTTAGCATTTCTTCTCATATTTAAGTAATTGGAAAATTTTGGAATTCTTTTGTATCAAAGCCACTCAGCATTTTCTTTTGTTTGGCATATTTCCCCATCACCAAGTATCACCAGTTTGGGTTGCCTTATTTCCTCGTGTAAACACGTTTTTCAATTATGCAGGCTTAACATGAACTTCATTCATATAATTGTAGTTCTTTCCTCCTTTTCAAATGAAGTAGATTTTTCTGATTTGGGATTTGTAGTGAGATGAATAAATGGCTATGCTGTATCTTCATAAAAAAGGTATGTTGTACAGATAAAGAAATGTCATCTCATAAATTAAAATGTTACAGAAATTAAAATGTCACCTCATAAATTAGATTGTCGCCTCATAAATTAAAATGTTACGGAAATTAAAATGTCGCCTCATAAATTAAAATGTTACAGAAATTAAAATGTCACCTCATAAATTAGATTGTCGCCTCATAAATTAAAATGTTACAGAAATTAAAATGTCGCCTCATAAATTAAAATGTTACAGAAATTAAAATGTCGCCTCATGAATTAAAATGTTACAGATTTTTCCTGTGCATTGATTTATTTATTGATAATTGGGACACTGGCAATTTCAGAATTCAGTTATATGTTCATTTAGCCTTTCATCACATATTACATTAATATATAATTCACATATTACATTTTACTTAAAATAATACTTAATATATAATTCACATATTACATTTTACTTAGCAATATTATCAGAAAATCTTCAAGTTCATGGTTATCATCAATGTCTTGAAATATGGTAGCTGGCTGTAAACAGGCCTCAGCTTCATCATTTTCGATGGTCTACATGAATAAAACATATTCATAATTGAAAGTGGTCCGATGCTTGCTAGGTTTTCAAACTGGCCCTCTTTCATAATTGAAAGTGAAATATACCTTTATACAATTGTTGCTCATGAGAACAACTTAATTGATATCCTCCAAATATAGGCACCACAAGACGCTGTCTGTGTCACTATATCTGTGCTAGCATTTTTAAAAATATCTGCAAATGTAACCTCTCATGATGTTGCAATGCTCCACATTGCAGATGTTGTGTTAAAATATTTCAAGAATTCTAGGACAGTTTTATTGCTGCATCTAGTTTGAAAAGGCTACTTTATATCTGCATTGTTATTCTAATATCCATTGGCTGATTGAATGATAAAGCTTTTCAGGAAGGGTAAAAATAGAGATGTTATCTTTCACCAAAACTTTAATTTTGAGATGATAACATTATTAATAGATTTGACAACATAGTAAGATGGATCAAATCAGGAAATAAAGGAAAAGCATAATTTTAAGTTCTAGCTGAGTTTAAGGTAACAGGAACCTTTTTTTTTTTTTTTCCCCTACCCTGCTATAGCAACAAAAGAAAATCAGTGTGTGCAACATTCCACTCCAAAAAAATATTGGTCTTTAGAATTCATTTATTGTGGAGGCTAGATAAGATGAAAAAAAAAGTTGTCATTTTTTGTTTATAATTTTAGTTTAAAATGTTTTGCTTTCTTACTTTCTATTATGATAACGGAGATTAAAATAAGTAATTATACAAATTTAGGTATGAAATGTGCTTTTAGTACAGGTCTGCATTAGCAGATTCAAACCTATGCCACTCAGAGAGTTAAAATTACTATTTTGGCATGTATTTTTCATCAGTTAATGATTAAGCCAGGTTAACTGCTTATGATATGACATATTCTATGCTATTCATCTCTTGAACGTATTTCTGTTGATTTTAAACACCTTTTGAATATCCAAACACATTTTGACCGTATTTTTAAATCTGTTTTAGATTTGCAAAACTGCATAGGTAAAACGATTTAATCTGTTGACTGCTAGTGCTATTTTTAAGTTGCCTAGTAGGTATTCTGAGAATGTTTTCTTAAACTTACTTGTAGTTCATTAGTAAATGTTAACTTGTCTCAAAGTTTTTGCACCATTCCATACTGCAGTAGTCTCATCTTTACCTTTTGAACCATCATGAGTTCATCATTTTCTGAATTATCTACATCATTTTTAAGGTCTTTGTTATCATTGTTGTTAAGATCAATATGCCATATTTTCTGTGCTTTTATTTTTGATTCATTTGCAGATGACTTTTTATGTGTATTATCTTCATATAGTAAATGCACATAAAACTTTTTCTGAATGTCAAATGGTTCTGGTTGACTGCTCATTTTAAAACCAAAAATATAGGCACTGGGGGAAAAAAAAGGAACCATACAGGATATTCATAAACAGTATCATTCATACATATCTTCTGGGCATTGTCAGCTTACTAGTTTAGTAACACCTGAGATGAATTCACTTTGATCAGAGTAGTTGTCACTGGGGGAATATGCTAAACATTCCAGTTGAAGTACTTGACAATCAGTCTATTAATTGTAATAAAGTAAAAATCATGTGATGCTATTTTATACAAAACTTTCAGAAGTTAAATTTTACTCCCAGAATTACCTTGTCTGTTTCTCTGAAGTCTAGTAGTTTAATCGTAGATGGAATTTCATTTTTATTTTAAATTTTTATATTTTTAAAATGTACCTTATTATTAATATCTATGCATTTTATATAGGATCAGCATATGACAGCTCAAGTTCATCTAAGAAAAGTATAGCAAAGCAATTCGGATATAACAAGTTGGAAAATGAACAAAATGGTGAACGAAAAGCACAGTCTCAGAATTCAAAATCTAAGACAAAAAAAGAAGTTAAAGAAGGCATTTTAATTGATTTCAGTAATGAAATTATGGTGAAATCTTCACCTCCAGTTATGCACCCTCAAAAATCTTCAGCATCGATGCATGTTTCATCTTCATTGGTAGATCTGACTTTACCTAATTCATTGTCAAATTTTTGTTGTGGTGAAAGAAATGTTTCTCCTGAATATGATACGTATTCCACTTACTCTACCCAAAATAGCAGCCAGCAAGATCGTTATTATAATGTTCCACCTTCAAATTTTGAACAATCTGTTGACAGATATTATTCTGTTCCTCCTGACAATCAAGCTCAAATGGCTAATACTTCCAATTATTATTCTCCAGTTGCTGAAACTGCTGAAAATTACATGCTTGCTGTACCTCTGCCAAACACACATTTGACCCGAATGGGAAGTTGCCCAGCTCTCCATGTAGACACGAATCGCAGTTCTACAAATCTTTATCAGAGTCAAAAATCTACAAATTCTTCCCATATTTCTAGTAGTACTACAAATTTCAATGATTTATTAGAAAGTTTTAATGGATTTTCTTTACAATCTCAATCTCAAAATGTATTTTCAATCAGCAAGAGTCAAACAACAAGCACCTGTAATAAAAACCAAATACTTGAAGAATTGAAAAAAACTTTAGGTAAAAAAGAGATGAATTCAAATTTTAGTAAAGATGATGATAAGAAACCAAATATCAAAATACCTCTTTTACAACCTCCACAGTCTCATGCAAAACGTAATAATCGCAATATGGAATCCTCTAATAATGCAGCCATTAGTTTTCCATGTGATATTCCACAGTCCAATACAAGAGTTACAGGTCCACCACCAATACCAGCTTTACCTCCAAATGCTGCAGAAGTCAAGTCATTTGTTGTGAATAATTCAGTTTCTTCTAAAAGTAACTTATCTCCAAACAATGGAACATTTTTTCCATTTTCCATGGCAACTATATCAAACTCTGAACTTCTCAGAAAACATTTAACTTTCATGCAAGCACAGGTGTCTGGTGTAACACTTGATGAATGCCATGCAGCATATCAACGGCACAATGGAAATATGCCTGAAGCTGTTAAGGACTTGCAGCTTTCGCAATTATGCCGTCTCGGTATAGCATCAAGAGCACAATGTGAACAAGCACTAAGATCAGTAAACTGGAATTTAGAACTTGCTGCATCTTCCTTAGTTGATGGATTGCAAAATGTGCACTGATAATCAATATTAGTATGTTAATAACATATAATGCAAAATGAAGGTTGTGATCTAAGTTATACCTTGGAGCTTAAGATGGTAATGGTACAAATGCATGAGTAGTTGTACATTATCCTTGCAGTGGTAAAGATTGGTTCACTTTATCATCTTCCCTAGTTCATTAAACTTTACTTTTAATTGTTTCTATTTCATATTCAGATGGTAGTAATTTATTATTTTTTGGTTATTTTTAAAGTATCATTTATTTTTTATTGTAATTTTACAAAGTTTTTAATTTAATATTTAAAAAAAATTTAAGTGCAGAGCACTGCTTTAAAGTAAATATTACCAAAGAGCAACTGAGATGAAAAGTATCTTAATATGATTTCTTTATGTATTTCAAGTTATCAATCTTTATTTTCTTTCTTTTTTTTCTTTTTCTTTTTTTTTTTTTTTTTTTTTTTTTTTTAAGTTTTGTTGAAGCAATCATTTCTTTTATTGAATCAGCAGGATAAAATGTTCAGTCAAGTTTGGCTTAATTTCTGAATCTTTCATATTATGAACATTACAGATTTAATGTGTTTAATATCTTTTTTAGAAATATTCTTTTTTGTTATAAAAAGATACTGAACATGCAGATGCCCCCTATTTAATATAATATAAAAGCCTGCTTTTGTGAAAGGTTTACATTAGCACCTTTTTTTTCCAGTAAGCAGAACTTGAAAAGAAATTCCCCCCCCCCAGGAGCAAATAAAAGGTGAAAATATTATTCAAAATTTGTTTTATGCAATGAATGCTTAAATATTTCTGCAACTGTGAAAGGGCACAGAGATTTAGGACAGCTTTGCAAAATACAGTGAACCCTCTCTAAGGTGATTTTAGTGTTCTGTGGAGATGGTTGCCTTAGAGAGTTGTATATGTGCTCAGAAGTACTGAGTTTCAGAGACAATCATCTGCCATGAGAAGGTACATCATATCTAAATGCTGATAAAAACTACTCAATAGAGGAAAAAAAAAAAAATATGTAGCATACTCAAATGGGAATGGGAAAGAAAGGAGACTCGGGTAAAATATTAGGGCTGAAAAATCAAAATATTTAAGTCGTACAGAAATGAGTGACACAAATGCTGCCACAGAGCAGAATACAATTTATTAACAAAAATCTAATGGTACATCAGTTAAAAATAATCCTGGCCCATGTCAATACACTTCTGCCATTTGGCTGGGAGGTCCCGAAGGGCTTTGGTAAACCAGTCTGTGGGGGTGTTGGTGCACCACCTATGGACAATTGCATGCAGTTCTGCAGAATATTCAACATTTTGGCCCCTGACTGTATCCTTTATCTTGTCAAGCAAGGTGTAGTCCAAGGTCCATCCACTATGCATACACATTTGTCATCTTCAAGTCACCATTCACAATCGTCTGCAATATTTCTTGAGCAAGTTCGTGTCTCTTCCTGTACCTTGTTATGCGCCTGATTGCCATGATCAAATCCGACCCGGCTGCCACATTTCCTGCTGTATGTGATGTTGCTGGTCGTCCCGCGCTGAGACCTTTGGCTGTAGTCTCCACTCCACTGCTGAACTTGGCCAACCAACAGGATACGGTATGTTTTGAGGGTGCTTTGTTCCCGCATACCATGCAACAATGGATCTCGCTACCCTGTATCCCTTCCTTCCATAGGAACCATGCTGTCCAATGCTGCTCGGGATAATGACCTTCCATCATTGCTGTCCATGCTCTCAATTATGACAGCGAAAGGGACGGACACAGACTTGTACCGTTCGCTTGCAGCCAGCTCCATCTATGCATTCTGAGTAGCTCACACCCCCCTTGTGTTTATTTTACTTGTTTTCCCTTTGCATAGTGTAATAGTTTCATTGTGTCAATCATTTCTGTATGATATAAGTACAATAAACTGAATATTGAGCTGATAGTGAACAACATTTAAGGAGCACAATATTGGGATTTGATAGGAATGTTAAAATCTATTAATAGCACTTTGCTAAGTGGTAAAACAAATTGTCATGTTTTGGGCTGTCGTATTAATTAAAGAGATAATACTTCTGGAATTCTAACATATGGGCGTCAGAAACAGAGATTGTAGGTAGTCGTCTGATGAATATAAAGAATCTGACAATATGAGGTATTAAAAGATGATCATCATCCTCTCTTTCTTTCACTGTATTTTTTTTTTTTTTTTTTAAATTTACTGTTACTGGATCTTCAATGATACAGTATGCATCATTGATACTCTCATCTTCCAGTGTGCGTGCTTTTCTTCCATGTTCTGAAAAACGAAGCATTGTACTTATGCTATCATTCTTGTTTTTAGTGTTATTTCAATTTTTCTTGGTTATTTGATATAATTAGGTTTTTTAGAGGCCTGGGAATGCTCAAAATTACTCTCAGTGTAAATAAGTGAGACTCATGTTTTCACTTCACTTTACTCAAAAGTATAGCATTTTTGTGAAAGTGAAGGTTTCATAGAAATGTTGTACTTCTGTGAAACAGGAAATTTGTGTTGGATTAAACAGTTAGAAATGAGAGATTTTTTTTTTTTTTTTTTAAATCTTATGTGAATTATTCTAATACGTGTACTTAATCATTCTTCCATTTATGCTGTTGGTGTGTATCAACTGAAGTGCACTTTAAAATTAGGTATTTCAAATTCTATTATTTTAAACTTTTGCTATTTCTCCATTTTACTTCACAATGTTCTTTCTGCGATTCCCCGTATTTCTGAACAAGATTGTTCTGAATTTTTGATGTTTGTGAATAAAATTTATCAATATGAATACACTATTTTTCTGATGTAATGTATTAATATCTTCTTGTAATTTCAGAATGAAAAGCGGATATAATTGATATTACTTATATCATATATTTGCAAATGAATAAAAGAAAAATATTGTTTTTTATATACAGTATTTTTATTACATTTCTGAAAGGGAGCAAATATTATATTTTATAATGTTTCTATAATCCAAATTTGGAGAAATCTTCAGAGGTTTACATGGTAAAAGTCAATATTAGAAAGAAATTTCTAGGCTGATTTCCTATATGTTTTGACTAGTATGTCTCAGAATTTGAATGATATTGCTTGCATTTTTCAAGATATACGTGCAAAGCAAAATATGTATATATAGGCCAGTAATCTGTATGGGTAATAATTGGAGAATTTTAAGTTTCAGTATTACTTAAAAGCATTAGGCACTTTAAATAAATAAAAATGAACTCTTAAGATATATGCCTTATAAATATCTGCCGGTGGATAATTTTTCTTTATTGGAAATATTCTTATTTATTCATACTTAAATTTTGTTATTTGAAATGTGTACATCATGTTGTAATTAATGAATCGCCAGACGACTTAAAGGACTTTTATAAAATATGAAATTATTTGTACTTTAAAAAATGAATGCTCACTTGCCTTTTTTTTTATTTATGAAATTGTATGAACCTTATTTTCATTATTTCAGTATAATGTACTGAAAATCTTAAAAATATGATTTCAAATATGTGATAAAAAATTTTCAGATTTATTTCATAAAGTACTGTTTATATAACCTAAAAATATTATTTATATTTAAATAAAATATAACTTAAATAAAATAATTTTGCATCATTGCTTATTTAAATTAAGTTATTTTTTTATTCATGTTCGTAATTTGAATTTTCAACATATTTAAAGATCAGACACCAATCATTTTCTACGTATTTCGGGTTTATATTTATAATATCTAAATAAGAATGAAATACTTTTATAAATGAAACAATCACTATAACAGTTTAAATTTCTTTTGCCATAAGTATACAACAGAATTTTTTTGCATTGTTTGATATTAAATCTTTAAATTTTCTTTTTCTTGTATTAAAAATTCCTCCTAATCATCCCATTTATATTGACTGTTGAAAATAATAAATATGAAATTCTTACTGTTTGATGCTAAGTTGATTTCAGCATGCCACATTGAGACCATATTTTAATTTGACCATCTCCGCTAGCCATAAATGCTTGACTTCTTATGTGTTTCAGTTTATTAAAGAAACTCATATGTGAATGAAGTAAACCGTCGAGTCCAATAACCCATTTTAAGGAGATAAGGACCAAGTCACTTGTACATTTCTTCTTAGATCTGAACCATTTTTAAATTGCTTTTATGATATTCATATATACTCCATTACTGAATTAAAGTCAAATATGAACTAAAGTTTACTGAAAAATGAAATATGCCATAACTGAGATATTACTGATATACCTGTAAAAAGGTACATGATTTCAACAGAAGCTTCATATTCAAACTCTTTTTCTGTCAATCAAATTCCATGATCCAGTCTTTGGAAGACCATATAAACCAGGTTATTAATATAATTAGGCTTAAGGAATTTGTAACATTTCTGGTCATTGTTTGTTATATGTTGATCAAATTAAAATAGTTTTGAAACTTAATATTGCAAAATAACATCATTACGTTTAAATAGATCTTTTAAAACAAACTTGTACTTCTGTTTGCCAAGAATAGCTCAAAAGATTCACACACACATACTTATAATGTATCTATAAAAAATAATAATTAAATAAAATTTTTTAAAAATAGTGAAATGAACCCTGTATTATATTTTCTCTTCAGACAGTTTTTCATTCTTTTGATAAAAGTTTTAAGAGACTTGAAAATCTGTGATGCTTCAAACTCATTTTCACAGCTAATTTAGCAAAAATTATTTTATTGAAACTATGTAAAAACATTTGCAGCAATGTAATATTTATAATTTACAAGGTTATTAATGTTATGGATGCATGAATTTTTATTATAGCTCTTCTATATGGTTTCAGTTTTTTAATGCATGCACAGTCTGTCAGAAGTATATAAAAAATTTACAAAAACTACAGCTAAAAATAGTTAGAAAGAATTTAATAGTTGTTCTCCCCGTACTTCTTGTGAACGTCTGTCAAGGTTGCCATGCTAAGTGAAAAATCAGAGAATTTTATATGGAGATTCCCACAAAAGCGATTTTTGGCTAACGTTGAAAGTGGATAACTTTCTTGGTGAATTATGTTATTGTGTGAGTGTCATTCTGGCAACTGGCTAGAGCAAAGCCTCCTAAAGACAGGGCAACAAGTTATCTTCAGGAGGCTTTGGCTAGAGCCAGTTTTCACAGCATCAATCAGATTGTCTTTAAGACAAGCAAAGAAAGTTCCCAAC